TCTAAGGCCTCTTCTCTTCAGCTGTTTGCATTATGATATTTCATAAAGATACAGAAACAATGAAATCATATGTATTTTGAACTATGTCCTAAATTACTACTTCATCGTTAATAAACAAGGATATGCTGCATTTCTACTACTATTTTGGAGGGGGTGGGAAAAGGTAAAAAAATGTAACTTCCTTACTCTACTTCCAAACTCAATAATCTCAGAATGAATTTATTATCTCTGAAAAGTTTTGGAAAGTCAACTGACAGAAATGCTTCACAAGAATATCTTTGTAACCTTAACTAAGAGAGATTGATGAGTCAAATCTGTCCATTTTGTTATGTTTTTTTATATTTACAAAAGTGCAGTAAAATTTAAAACAAACTATTTGCATTCTTATTTTCCCTATGTTACTTAAGGAAAAAGAAAGAAAATAAAATTATCTGATACGAACACTACCAAGTCCCACGTGTTATCATTAAGAAAGTTATGGTCAAAAGAAACAATTTTCAAGAAATTCTCTAGACTGGCTTTTAAAATGTGTTATCTTCTAGTTCATATTGTGGGTAAATTGAAACTATGTTATGTTCTTAAAACAAGAAAGTAGATATAATTTAAGATACCACAGTGAATACTAAGAATCAAATGAAGATGTGAAACCACACCAAAAAAAGGTGCAAGGCCAGGTGTGTGCTAGGTTAGTTACATTACTCCACTCCTAGCTAGAATATAGACTCCATGATAATGGGGACTCCATTTTTGTTCTCGGCTGTATCTCCAGCACCTAGAATCAGAAAGTATTCTGTAAATACTTATGAATGCTGAAAAAGTACAACCAAGCTGTTATTTCCTTCAGGATTTTTTTTTCTTACCTCCACTCCTGATCCAACAACCTAAAACCTTTCACATGCCTTTATCTTAAAGGTAAAATCTAGGTTCTTTAGCAGAAATATCTGTGGTTTAAAAACTTCATATAAAATTGTATTTTTTAAATGGCTAAAACAGTGAATTTTATATTGTTCCTCACAATTTTTTTAAAAAAAGAAAAATAAAACCCTTTATACAAGTTCTTTGAAGAATAAACCAAAGAAACAGGAAGGAATTTCCCATACAGACATAAATGGAGAAGCTTCTACAATGCCCTTCCCGGCTTTCTTGTCCCTAAAATTTTTTAAGTGTGAAATATATGATATACAACACAAGAAACCAGTTCTGTTCTAGAGGTAATTAAGATCATTTTAGCATTTTCCCTGTCAGAAGTTAGGATCCACTGAAAATTCCCCTGAATCAAGAAACTTGCTTTTATTTGACAGAATAGGCCTATTAAAACAATGTTTCTCTGAAGTATCAGCATTGGAGAGCATTAACAAAACTGAGCAAAGGTATGCTCATACGTAGCAATTTGTTTCTTCCATAAGAGGGTGAGTGCCCATGTTTTTCCTGGATGTTTTCTGAAAACTGCATCATTTTCAAATCCAAAAACCTGACATAAACCAAAGGCATGATTTTGAAAGCAGACAAATCATAATTACTTTCTAGAAATCTTGGACATGACCTTTACAGTTCTGACCAAGGAAAAATTCTTGGAAATATATTTAAAATTTTTCTCTATATGATCAAAGAAAAAACTATGTTCCTATTAGCTAGTCAGTGTACAACAGTCCACTCAGTTGTGGCATAAAGAGGCAAAGGTATCAAAAAACCTTTTTAAAAAATCTGCATTAAGCCATGGAACCCAACATTATCACAAATTCACTATCTTCTGTAATTGACATAAAGCTTACTTCCTCTAAGGTTGCCTTTATTATTGGTGGCCCAACCCCATAAAGTAATGGATGATACTGGGAGAAAGGCTCACAAAAATAAAGCATCAGTACCAGATTTCACAATTACAGTTTCAACTGTTTGCAAGCAGCACTGAAAAGCTGTAATATAGACTAATTTGCCTTTTTGCTGAGGTAGTTTTAGCTGACTTTCTAGCATTCACCTCTTAAAGACAACATATTTTTTTCTACTTTTTTCTACTCCTACATTTACATACTCTCTTTTTTTATTAGGGTCTAAATACTTTTAGACCTAAAAGGTCTAAATACATTTTTCAGTAATAGTTCACTGGATTTTACAGAGAACTTCAAATGCTATGATTGTATTTGCAATGTTGGAAAGTCATGAAGTTTGTTTACAAGATTTAACTCACCCAGCAGATGAAGAGTTGACTGCACCTTTCATAATTTACCACATTCTAATAATTCAAAGCACAGTAAAACTAGGCCTTTATAAACCTAAAAGCAGGGCCTTAAAAATTTGATCACATAAAATGCAGGGTTACATTATATCCTATTTGCATTATAAAAGGCCACACTATCATAGAATAGTAATAAACCCTTAAAAATAGTTATGATAATATGTATTATATTTTTAAAACTATAATCCTGGCCAATATTCAAAGCTATAGTGAAAGTTTTTCTTCCTGAGGAAAATGAAGCACTCACTAAAAAATACTGGAAACATTCTACTGTACATAAATTATGGTAGAATTACCATATTAAAACAAGAAAAAATTACTGTTTTAAAAAAAATGTACTGAGGTACTACTATGAGCTGGGCACTCTGCTGGAATAGACAGATCAGATATATGGCAGTCCAAGCAGGGGAGAAAACAATTAATCAATTATCAAGTTTAATAAATATTATGATTGACAGAAGTACATTAGTGCAAATATCTCAGATGAAATAAAACCAGAGGCTTCCTGAACAAAGTGACATACAGGTTAGACCCAAAAACTAAGGTTGGAATTAGCCAGAGGGAGGGGTTAGTTTTAGAAATAAAGATTGGGAGGTGAGACACAGATCAAAGGGAGAAGAGGAGAGAGAGATGCACAGAACTTGACACTAGATGAAGCTAAAAAATTGAAGCAGGACATATCACAAAGGATCTGATAAGATGTTTGTTAAGGAATCTGGACTTTATCCTAAGGCAACAGAAAACTACTAACATGTTTTAAGCAGAAAATGACCACACTCAGATTTGCATATTAGCAAATAATATGGCTGAAGTAAAGAACCGATTAGGAAGATGAGTCTTGGGAGGAATAATGAGCAAGTGGTTGCTGTTGCAGTTGTCTTGGATTAGAGATTATGGTGGTATGGAGTAGGACTGTGGTAACTGGTATGGAAAGAAAAAGATTGACCAGAGAATGACTGGAAAGGCAGAACTGACAGGATTCAATTCAGTGACCAGCTAGATGGGGGGAAAGGATTATGCCCAGATTTCTGAACCTGGCAACTGAGGGAATGAATGTACCAACTTACTATTTCCCTTCCACTGGAAATATTTACCAGACCTTAAAAATATTAGTTTTTTCCAGTTATGCACATTGATATAAACAGTGCAAAAAATATTTTAGATTTGATTCCGGCAAATATGAATTACCAAAATAAGCACAGGAGTAGCTCTTTCATAAAACCATGACAGGTTTTTTAAAGTAGAATTTAACAGAATTTTGGCAAAGCAAACAAGAATCTACAGACAAAAGAGCACTACCCTTTGAAGTCCAATGCTGAGAACAAAAGGCAGTAGCTTTCAAAACCCACTCATTCATTTTAAAATTTAGGTGTCCTAAACTTGTGTAGATTAGCCCTGGCCAGATTAGGCTCTTTTTAAACACTTACATGTTGTCTCTATAAAACTACATGAAATAATGTGAAAACATATAGTCTGCTCTAAGGAAGAATTTGTAGAGCTACTTATTCCCTTAAACATTGTATCACCTGATAAATCTCATAATAAGTTTATGTGCCAATGTATTTATAATGTATATATTTATGTATTTATATGGGAGGTAACAAATTGAATGATTCACCTTCCTCTATTTGCAAAAATTGTACCCCTTGTAGTCTCTCAAGGCAGTTTCACAAATTTCAAAGTAAAAATTTCCTCGCAGCGAATGATTCAATTTATCTATGAAATAAAAATTAGATGCCCTATTTTACAGGTACCTAGCAACTCTCTTCACGTAACTCCCATGGGCTTCTCCCACACACTATTTCATCAGTTATCTAGGGATTCTCTGACGGATATTATCTCTTCATTGGCAAAAGAGATACAGTTTGACCACATATTGTGGACAGAAATATGTTAATTATGAAAAATGGATGAAAGCTATATCCTGAACTATCATTTTTCCCTTCAGTCTATGTGGCAGAAGGGCCCAATTCTCATAAAAACTTATATCATCAAGTCTAATGAACTTCGTGAATCCTTCTGAGTGCTATCAGACTACCGTCTACTTACACACACACGTACACTAAAATCAAACCTTTAACAAATAGTTTTCCCATCATTCTGTCATATTGGAGTAAAGGAGGCCTTTCCTCCTACAACTAGACAAATACATATGTCTTGGTTTCCCTAGACCTTCCTGTTGATATGCAGCATTTTAAAAGAATTTAAGATTTGTGATGTATCTTTCACGCCCTAGGTAAAGAAGATGGTGCTATTACAGCAATTTGCCAAAGAATACAATACTGACAATTTAATGTTTACTGCTAAATTAGACTGTAAGAAAAAACTCCCCAGGAAAGACTGTACCTCTAAAGCCGTAAATTTAAAAATGTAACATAATTAGGTTAGTCACTAGTAATACTCCCTGACTTCAACAGTTACTACCAAGTTCCCCGTGAAATGGAGGTTAGGGATCAGCCTTAGAATACTAAGATGAAAGGCTCTCTTAGGACTCAAAGAGGGAAGAGAAACCAGACAAGAGAAACATGGTGAGGAAAGAGAAGTATCAAGGGGTCTATTAAAAAAGAAAGAGACATTTCTGAGCCGATTCCTGAGGACTAACCTGAGCCCAAACCCCCGAAACCTAGGGGCGAACTCTTAAGTCTGTGGAAAAAGGCGCCCGAGCCCAGTGACAATGCGACCCGCTTCTTTCTGGGAGTGGGGGCACCGAAAGGAGACCGGGCCTCGCTGGGCCACATTCCGGGCCGTTCATCAGGAGGAGACCCACCTGGAGACCGCCATGGCAGGGCGCCGTTGGTTCTGGGCTCCCCGCGAGCTACGCGCCGCGCCGCTGGGGCGCTAGTTTCCAGACAGCAGAGCGGCGCAGGCCCAGGCCGCGAAACAGAGGGAGCGGCCGGAGCGGGGCGGGGCGTCCCACCGCGGGCCTTCGGACATCTGCCCCGCCGCCTACCCGAGCTCGTCCCCGCCGCGGCCGGGAACAGAGGACCTGACACGACAGCGGCGGCGGCAGTCCTCCGACCCGCACGACTTCAAGCCGGTTGCCCCCAGCCCCGCTCTTTGCTGACGCAAGCGTCGGCACGCCGGAGTGAGCGTCAGCGCGCCGGAAGTGACATAAGCTCACCGCGAGGGCTTCTGCTCCGCCGGCGAGGTTAAGGAGTACCGGCAGCGTCGGCCTGGCGCCGCGCGCCTGAGAAGAAAACTTTGTGCGTCTGGAGAGGGTCGTTAGTCTTAAAACAAGACGGGGAGGAGAAATAAGGGTTTCCTTGTTTCCTCGAGAAGGAAAAAAAAGGCAATTTAGCCAAGGTTCCGGAAGTTCAAAAATTTGGTTTTCTGATTCCTTACTGCCTCTATCTCCATCCCATCGGACTGCTTTAGAGAAAGCTGGATCCGAAGGACATTAGGATTCTGTCATCCAAGCCGTTGTACCAGTGGGAGGGGTGAAACCAAGAAAGGACTGCAATGGCACGTGGACGTGGCTCAAATGTTTGCCGTAGGAAGTTCTGCATAGGTAATGGAAGGAAGGTTTTTCTGCCAGCCATTTTTCCAAGATTGATTTCTTAATTATGTTGTAGGTGCCTTAATTTCCTAAACCAGATGAGAAAACTGCCCAGCCTTTTTTTTTTGTTGGCTTATCCAGCTATTCAGAAACTTAATTCATTAGGCTTTTAAACATTCTGTCACCTAGTGCAGGCCCTTGTCTTAAACTTGATTTTGATTATAGTAATCAAAGTTATAGTCCAGCTTCATCAGTTGAGCCCATCTAATGGGCCATCAATAGACTAATCTTCAAAAAACAATCCTTTTATCATGTCGCTCCTCTGCTTATAAAACTTGTCCACTGGCTTCTCATTACCTGAAAAGCCTATGTCTCAACCCATGAGTCTGTTTTTCATCTATAAAATGAGACTGATGAGAAGTACTGTAGAAGATTTGAAAATAAGATGAGGTCATGTATTTGGCTTATAAGATCTTTGTAAACCATAGAGTAGTTATAAATGTAAGGGGAAAGAAACTAAAGTACCTGCTATATGGTAGGCATTTGGCATGAATTACTTCATATAATTCATAGGCCAACTCTGTGAAGTAAGTTTTAATCTTCATATTATAGGTGAGGAAACTAAGCTCAGAAAGTTTAAGTAATGTGACCAAGATCCAAGCTAGTAATAATATTTATTGTTGTTCATTCATTCAACAAATAGTTATTTGGCATCTGCTCTGTGTCAGACATGACTGGGTGCTATTTATGCTATTAAAGTCTGATTAAGCTAATGTTCAAGTACCTTTACATTTCAGTGTCCTCCCACCTGCCTTTTCAATTTATCTCCTACCAATAAACCAGTAAGCAGGTACTATTTACTGATTGTGTACTACATTTGTTTATTCAGCCAAACTTAAGTACCTACTACTTTGCTATACTCTGTTACTAGAATTTGGGGTTTCACAAGGAATCAAAACAGACAAGTGTCCACTCTGGTTAAACCTACATTCTAATGGAAAAAAAGTGAACTGAATGTCTTATTTATATACTTTGTAAAACAGAATGATGGGATTAGAGACTCTAGGCTGGGTAATTAGGGAAAAACCAAGGAAGCACTTAAGCCGAGGCCTGATAACAAGAGAGAGCCCACTGTCTGAAGACCAGGCAAACCTTCCAGCTAAAGGATACATACACCTAGTATAATAGTCTAAGAGAAGTCCGCTGTGTTGGGAGATAAGCTCGAGAGATAAGAAGGGGCCATTGTGAGGAATTTGTATTTTACTCTAGATGTAGTATAAAGTCATAGGAGGGTTTTAAGCATATAACTAATATTATCCAATAGACATTTTAAGAATCTTAGTCTTTAGTAGCCAAGAAGTAATTAGATGCGTAGTTCTAAATGACATTTAGAAGAAAGAGTTGGTATTACAGGTTTAAAAGGGAGAGTGTAATAATCGAATAATATTAATGTCAGACTGCTTTTTAAACCCTTCCTCACCACACTTAATAGCTGTGTGTTCAAGGGAGTTGTATAACCTTTCTAAGCTTCAGTTCCTTCATCTTGGAATGAAGAGGATGATAGTATGTCATAGGGTTGTGGTGAGGATTAAATGAAATAATGAATATAGTGCTTTTAAAGAAGTGACTGCCATAATAAACACTCAAAAATATTATCAACTACATTGATGATGATTCTTATTAACTATCCAAACTTGAGCAAGGGACTTCTATCTCAATTTCTTCATCTGTGAAATGGGAATAATAGCAGTACTGGCCCACAAACTACCTGAAGCCAGATGATTTTCTGAGTTTAGAATTCTCTTTGATTTTGAAAAGTAATCTAATGCATATATCTTGCATTATGTCACACCCCAGCAACTTCTAGGGCAGCACCCTGTAATCAAATACACTTAATAATTTTGCAAGAAAATGTATGAATAGCCATACTAAGAGGAATAAATAAAAGACTGTAAATAGCTGCATGGCAATTCAGGTCAGGCTTTGCAGCCAAGTGAATTAAAGTCTGATTTTCACACCTTTTTCAATTCAGAATCATAAATGACGGATCATGAACCTAAAGTTATTGGGATAGGTGATAGGTGATACAACTGAAAAATATTAAGTGCTAATACGAGCTATTATTTTTTACCACTAGAAAGAAATCAATGGCATAAGAAAGAACTATTGATAAAGAATGTTGGACAGTTGGCTCTCCATGTGAAGGAAAAAATCAAAGCCCTACTTCATACCATATCCCAAATAAATCTCAGATGGGTTAAAGATCTAAAAATGAAAAACAGAACTGTCAAACTTTTAGGAGACTATGTTGAAGAATATTTTGACCACACAGTAGAAAAGGATTTATTAATGCACAAAATATATTTACCATTGAGGAAAAAATAAATTTGAATCCACTAAACCATAGAACTTGTGTATAATAGCAAAATGAAAACATCCGAGGGAAAGGGGCAGAAAGATTGGCTTTCCTTGAGCCTCCTTTGAAAGTAGGGAAAACTTTCCCAGAAACTGACAACAAACTTCACAAGGTGGGCACAATTGGGTCACACTATAACCAAACCAACCGCTGGAAATGGGGATGATGTTATTATCCTTAGACCACCCAGGAGATGAAAATGGAGTCAGCTTCCCCTGATACAAGCTCTACTGGAAGAGGTGGAAAGACTGCTGCTTCACCTCTGTACATCAGATACCCAGGAAAAGGAAGGAATAAGAGGTAATGTTTGTCTCAAGAAAGCAAAAATCTCCCCACTAATTCTTAGCCAATTTATATCTCATTGGTCAGAACTGTCTTGTGGATGCTGTAACTGCAGGGGATTCTGGGAAGGTAATGGATTGGTGCATCCACTAGCTTTATCCTTCTCATATGATCAAAGGAAATTTGATATAAATACAAAAGTATATATTATCCACTTAAATTATTTAGACTTTTACATCAAGGTAATTAGGTCTAATTTTGTTGCTTCATACTAAACACAAAAATAAACTTTAGATGAATTAACAGGTTAAATTTAAAATATGAAAACAATATAAAATGGATATATATTAAATTTTATGTATAAAACTCATGAGATTTTATATGGATGAGAACTATGTCTTTTTGTAATCAAGTGAGTGAAGGGCAAATATGAAAGAAGCTGGAAAAGGAAAACCAGCATAGACCCCAATCATAGGTCCATACCAAGGCCTACTGTTGATAAAAACATATAGAGGGAACAAGCACATGGAGGTTGACTTTGAATTTAAAAAAATAGAGACCTACCCACTCTTTGAAAAGCTTTTAGGTATCTTCAGGGGTACATATATTATCCACTCAGTTTAAAGACCACTGCTCTAGAGAAATACTCTTACATAAGAAGATCTCTACTAGGGTGTTCACTGAAGCACTGTATATCATCTAGAAAACCTGGAAATGACCTAAATATCCATCAGTAGAATGATGGATAAATTAAGTGTAATATAGCCACATGATGGGATACTAACAGCAATAATTCAAGTAAATCAAGTAGATATACATATGCTAATACGGACAAAGCTCAAAACTAAGCTGAGTGTAAAAAGCAAGATGCAGAACAATATTTGAGAAGAAAGTGGGATTTGAAGGGGTAATGGAAATGGAAGAGTTACGTGACTTTTTCTTTAAAAAACTGTGGAACACAAATATATTAATATATGTTAATCTTAGTGGTTATATGTTCTTAACATCTATAATTGGAATACAATTTTTAAGTTACGTTTTTTACAGGTTTGGGTTCTTTTTTAGGCAAAGTTTACATGCAAGCATAACTCAGATCTCTACCAAAATATAATATATTGCCATAACCCTTAGAAAGTTCCTTCATATCCCTTCCTCATCAATACAAGTCCCCACTCATTCCCCAGAAGCAGCCCTGTTCTGATGTTTTTCCACAATGGATTAGTTTTGTTTGTCCCAAAATTTCATGTAGATGCACTCATACAATACATGCTCTTTGCTGTGCTATCTGGCTTCATTTGCTCAACATTATGGCTTTGAAATCAATCCATGTTGTTGCATGTTGCAGTAGTTCATTCCTTTTTATTGCTAGTAAACAAGTTGTATCACAGTTTGTTTATTCAATCACCTGTTAATGGATAATGGGGCTGTTTGCACTTTGGAACTGACATGATGAATAAAGTGATATGACCATTCCTGTACTTGCCTATTTCTGGTCATATGTTTTCATTTACTTTGGGTAAATACCTAGAAGTTGAATAGCTGGATCACAGAGTAGGTGTATATTTAGTTTTATAAGAGAATGTAAACAGCTTTCTAAAGTAATTGTACCTATTTATACTCCTACCAGCAGTGTTCAAGAAATCAACTTTCGCCTTGAGCATTATATTAGGTACAAAAAAAGTTAAGAAAGAGATTATCCTTGGACTCAGGCTCTAGCTGTGGCCACCACATAGTTTACTACAAAAAAAATTAAGTGAATTTAAATTGCAAAAAAAAAATTAAAAAAGATTATTCTTGTCTAAAAAGCTTACAATATAATGTGTGAGATAAGGCAAATACACATGAAACAAAGAAAATTTGAATATTAAACTTCACAAAGCTGATTTTACATGCACAAATTATTCTGTACTCTTAAGGAACTTAAGAGGCAGGAGACCTCCTGCCCCACTCCATTCACCATAGAAGTTTGCTGGGTCAGGAGCTGCAGCTACTCTCTAGGGGGCAGAAGGGAAGGAGGTTGCCACTACACTGCGTTCTTATGGTAAGACTTTTCCTTTGTAGGATTCACAGGGTAGGACTAAGCAGTTAATTACTAAAATTATGAAATTTCACCCCATTCTAAACTATTAGGTAGCATATGGTGAATCCAGACCAGCCTGTTGAATCACTGATGTAAACAAGATTATTTTTTAAAAATCAGTATTATGGTATATATTTCATGTTTTCTTACATCTATGATATCATGATATTTTAAAAAGTATCTTTCGAGGATATGAAGAGACACTTCTCCAAAGAAGAAATTCAGATGGCCAACAGGCACATGAAAAGATGCTACACATCACTAATTATCAGGAAAATGCAAATTAAAACCACAATGAGATACCACCTCACTCCAGTTAGGATGGCCAACATAGAAAAGACTAGGAAAAACAAATGCTGGTGAGGATGCGGAGAAAGGGAAACCCTCCTACACTGCTGGTGGGAATGTAAAATAGTTCAACCATTGTGGAACGCAGTATGGAGGTTCCTCAAAAAACTAAAAATAGAAATACCATTTGACCTAGGAATTCCACTCCTAGGAATTTACCCTTAGAATGCAGCAACCCAATTTGAAAAAGACAGATGCACCCCTATGTTTATCGCAACACTATTTACAATAGCCAAGAAATGGAAGCAACCTAAGTGTCCATCAGTAGATGAATGGATAAAGAAGATGTGGTACATATACACAATGGAATATTATTCAGCCATAAGAAGAAAACAAATCCTACCATTTGCAACAACATGGATGGAACTAGAGGGTATTATGCTCAGTGAAATAACTGGGTGGAGAAAGACAAGTACCAAATGATTTCACTCATCTGTGGAGCATAAGAAGAAAGAAAAAAACTGAAG